GGTGGGGAGGGAAAGATGTCTTTGGTGGTGGGGTCGGATTGCAGATGGCGGAAGTGTCGGAGGATGATGCGTTGGATCCGGAGGTTGGTGGGGTGGTACGTGAGGACGAGGGGGATTCTTTTTTGGTTCTTATTGCGTGGACGGGGTGTGAGGGTTGAGTTGCAGGAGACACTGTTGAGGGCGTTCTCGACCACTGAGGCGGGGAAGTTACGGTCCTTGAAAAACGAGGACAACTGAGATGTACGGGACTGGAATGCCTCGTCCTGGGAGCAGATGCGGCGGAGGCGAAGGAATTGGGAATAGGGGATAGCATTTTTGCAGGAAGGTGGGTGGGAGGAGGTGTATTCTAGATAGCTGTGGGAGTCGGTGGACTTGAAATGAATATCGGTTTCTAGGTGGTTGCCCGATATGGAGACAGAGCGATCCAGGAAGGGGAGAGAGGTATTGGAGATGGTCCAGGTAAACTTAAGGTTGGGGTGGAAGGTGTTGGTGAAGTGGATGAACTGTTTGAGCTCCTTGTGGGAGCACGAGGCGGCGCCGATACAGTCATCAATGTAACGGAGGAAGAGGTGGGGTTTAGGGCCGGTGTAGGTACGGAACAGGGATTGTTCCACGTAACCTACAAAGAGGCAGGCGTAGCTTGGGCCCATGTGGGTACCCATGGCCACCCCCTTTGTCTGTTGGAAGTGGGAGGAATTGAAAGAGAAGTTGTTGAGGGCGAGGACGAGTTCGGCCAAGCGGATGAGGGTGTCAGTGGAGGGGGACTGGTCGGGCCTGCGGGACAAGAAGAAGCGGAGGGCCTTTAGGCCATCTGCATGGGGAATGCAGGTGTAGAGGGACTGGACGTCCATGGTAAAGATGAGGTGTTGGGGACCGGGGAATTGGAAGTTTTGGAGGAGGTGGAGAGCGTGGGTGGTGTCACGGACATAGGTAGGGAGTTCCTGGACCAAGGGGGAGAAAATGGAGTCTCTAATACCTCTCTTCTCCTTCCTGGACCTCTGTCTCCATATCAGGCAACCACCTAGAAACTGATATTCATTTCAAGCCCACTGACTCCCACAGCTACCTAGAATACTCCTCCTCCCACCCACCTTCCTGCAAAAATGCCATCCCCTATTCCCAATTCCTTCGCCTCCGCCGCATCTGCTCCCAGGACGAGGCATTCCACTCCCATACATCTCGGTTGTCCTCGTTTTTCAAGGACCGTAACTTCCCCGCCTCAGTGGTCGAGAACGCCCTCAACCGTATCTCCTGCAACTCATCCCTCACACCCCGTCCACGCAATAAGAACCAAAAAAGAATCCCCCTCGTCCTCGCGTACCACCCCACCAACCTCCGCATCCAACGCATCATCCTCCGACACTTCCGCCATCTGCAATCCGACCCCACCACCAAAGACATCTTTCCCTCCCCACCCTTATCTACTTTCCGGAGGGACCACTCTCTCCGTGCCTCCCTTGTCCGCTCCACACCCGGCACTTTTCCCTGCAACCGCAGGAAGTGCTACACCTGCCCCCATACCTCCTCCCTTGGCCCCAAGAAGACTTTCCACACCAAGCAGATGTTCACCTGCACATCTGCCAATGTGGCGTACTGCATCCGCTGTGGCTTCCTCTACATTGGGGAAACCAAGCAGAGGCTTGGGGACCACTTTGCAGAACACCTACGCTCGGTTCGCAATAAACAATTGCACCTCCCAGTCGCGAACCATTTCAACTCCCCCTCCCATTCCTCAGACGACATGTCCATCCTGGGGCTCCTGCAGTGCCACAACGATGCCACCCGACGGTTGCAGGAACAGCAACTCATATTCCGCTTGGGAACCCGGCAGCCCAATGGTATCAATGTGGATTTCACAAGCTTCAAAATCTCCCCTCCCCCTACCGTATCCCAAAACCAGTCTAGCTCGTCCCTGCCTCCCTAACCTGTTCTTCCTCCCACCTATCCCCTCCTCCCACCTCAAGCTGCACCCCCATCTCCTACCGACTAACCTCATCCCACCCCCTTGACCTGTCCGTCCTCCCTGAACTGACCTAGCCCCTCCCTAACTCCCCACCTACATTCACCTTTACTGGCTCCATCCCCGCTTCTTCGACCTGTTTGTTTCCTCTCCTCTATCCATCTTCTATCCGCCTCCCACTCTCTCCCTACTTATTTCAGAACCCCCTTCCCCTCCCCCTTTTCTGATGAAGGGTCTAGGCCCAAAACGTCAGCCTTTCTGCTCCTATGATGCTGCTTGGCCTGCTGTGTTCATCCAGCCCTGCACCTTGTTGTCACGAATAAGACAGGATGGGAAAACTTCTAAATACCAAAATTTAAAAGACATTTCAACAGGTAAATGAATGGGAAAGGTTGAGAGGAATAAGGGCCAAATGCAGGTACATGGGAATCCTTTATTTTGAGAAACTCTGTAGGCATGGACAAGTTGGATCAAATGGTCTGTTTCAGTGCTGTATGACTGACTGTAAAATATAACCAAAAACAAAGAGGAAAAACTGAGGATAAACTTGCAAGTGACATCAAGATAGATAACAAGAGCTTCTTTATATATTTAGGAGGAGAGAGACCAAGGTTAATGTAGGCACCTTAAAGAGCAAGGCTGGAGAAATAATGATAAGGAACCAGAAAATGTCAGGAGTGGAATAAATACTTTAAATACCAGTCTTCATGGTAGAAGACACTTAGCATTTCAAAAATAATAAATCAAGGGGCAAAATGGCAAAGATGAAATAAAGACGATAACTATCACTGGAAGAAGTACTATTCACCATGCTCAGCTTCATCTGAGTAAATAAAGTTCTTCCTGTGGCAATGCCTAGCCTAAATGAAAAAGTGAAGAAACATCAGCTTTGCCATAAAATAATTTTACTTCGTCCAGTAGACTAGCTAAGTTACGTAACTGGACTTCCATCCACACTGGCTCAGCCAGCGATGCCTAACCTACTATCCATAATATGTAATCCTGATCTCAAACTGCCCAGGTCCAACATACATATGCAGTCTACGATTGGCTTTGAACAGTAACGTGGAGTATGGGGAGATGATCGCCCAATTATCGTTGCACTATGAATCCAAACAGTCAAGTAATGATTTGGGGATCTGGATTTGAATCCTACTATTGGAATTCAAGACTGAAAAAAAGGACCTGATGATGACCATGAGACCATGCCATTTGTCGGTGAAAGTTAGGAAACTGCCATTCTTACCTGGTCTGATCTACATGTGGCATCTACATACAAGCTCAGCCAGCGACGCCCACGCCCCAAAAAAGATTTTTTTTTGAAAAAAAAAGAGGGTTAAGCTCTTAACGCTTTCAGTTCTTCTGGTCATTTTTCTCCGGCCATTCCTCTCCGGCCCATTGAAGCTCCTCCGGTCATTCCTCTCCGGCCCTTTCACCTCCTCCGGTCATTTCCTGAAAGCTCTTGCTGCTTCTCATTGGCGGCCGCCGTTCTTATTGAAACTACATCACGGCTCTGTGCTCCTGGGATTGGCTGATGCTGAGGGGGAATCCTGCCCCTTCCACCAATCGGCTTCACCATGGCGTTTTGCTGCCGAACCAGCCTCAAATAGACCCCGAGTTGGCCCGAAGGAGCAATTGCTGGGAGCTGCACGCTCCGGAAACAATGGGATTGTGCAGGAAGATTGTCCAGAGTAAGGCCTCACTCCGCTCCTACCACTTTGGGTTGCTCTTTGTGGCTGCTTTGGCAGTGTTTGCTTTTTACTACTTGGGATCCAACCATGAAAATTTTTCCAGCACCACCAGGAGAATGAAGGAAAATCAGGCAGGAAAGAGTTCACAGGGCGACGTTCAGTTGACAGCCAATCTCAGTGGGAAGAAAGCGGCAGAATCTCAAGGAAGTCTCCCGTTTGCTAACAGCGAGCCGGAGGATACAGCGGGGAAACGGACGGTACTGTTTCATGCTCTAATGATGTTTACCAAGGTTGACAAAAACTACGGTCTCCAAGAGAAATTTACAGTTGCCATCAAGTCGATGGTAAAACACGCAGTGTTTAAGGATGATGAGGTACTCTGTCTGCATTTTGTTGCTGATGTCCCCAGCAAGAAAATAGGAGAGCCACTTCTACAGCAACTACTGCAAATCGCATCCTTTAAATATCAGGTACCACGTTGTTTCGGTTTGCCCGGGCTGGTATCTCGCTCTGTTCGATTACATGGGCAACAACTGTATTATTACTGTGACAGTATTTTCGCCAGTTTTAGACTGTATTTAGTTTTGAATGGAATTTGGTTAGATTGAACGGTAAATACATACTTGCAGGACAACCCTGAATTTGAACATTGGATTCGGCCTCCTTGTTGACAGTGATTTGTGTGAAATTGGTTTTAATAGAATTTATAATGCAGTACTGAATCTGAAAGCGCTGAAATCACACCATCCCATCTCTATGGGGAAAGTTTGCAGTTGCTGCATGTCCACTTAACAGTATACCCAACAACATTGACTCGGAGATAGTAGGAACTGCAGATGCTGGAGAATCCGAGACAACAAGGTGCAGGGCTGGATGAACACAGCAGGCCAAGCAGCATCATAGGAGCAGAAAGGCTTGCCAAGCAGCATCATAGGAGCAGAAAGGCTAACATTGACTCAACTGCCTGGTCTTCATTCTGTGGCCACATTCGTGCCCGAAGGCTCCTGGGAAAGCAGCGGGTGGTACCTGTGGTAACTTTCCAGATGGCCACTGCTGGCATCGTGTGGTATTTGCCACTTCTACCAATTTGTGGCATTAGTAAGGCTTGTTTAGGGTAGTTTGCTTCACCAATCCTCCTTTGTCTGGGCCTTTCTCGTGATCGGTGATAGCTAATGATGTATCCTGTATCTAAAGAACAGATCTCAAATTGAATTAGAAGAGATCTCTTAGGTCACAAGAAGGTCTATTACATGATAGCAGTAGGTATAACTATATTTAGTCAGGCATAGTTACTAGAACTTTAGGGAGCTAGTGCAGATATATCAGGTCCCTCCTGAAGCTCGAGCAGAACTTCTGGTCTCCTCTCTGTGTGTGACATTATGAGAAAGGGTGGAGCCAGTGTGACATGAACATCAAATCTGAGTGAGTTATAACCCCTTCAGCTCCATTAATTTATGCAACAACTGCCCATTTTCTTTCCTTTGTTAACCCATTATACCATCACATACAGTCTGTGGCTTTCCAAATGGAGGCAGAGTGGTTGTTCTACACTTTTCCCAGAATGTAGTTTTGTTGGACTTGGAACAATGGTAAATCTCTTGTTTGAGAATTGATGAGCATGGTTCTGAACACCAAAGTGTTCTGCTGCCTGAACAACATTAGTTAAACATTCCTGAAAGAGCTCAAGTGGGTTTCAGTGTTTATTTTGGCTTTCAGTATTTGCTTCTTCTTTCAAACTTTGCAGAGTTTTAGCTTCAGATCTGCCTTCAGTGATGACAAGTATTTACCAGACACAACAATCCAATATGTACAGAATTCACAATAATTTACAAGATCCTCTGTCTTTTTGTGATTTGTAGCTGCTACACCATTGATGGAGCCCTGGCTGTACACCTAACAACACCTAATTCTGCTGCATCCCTCCCAACATGTCTTCCCAAGGGGAAGTTGTCATAATCAATTTCATGTCACACACCACTAAGCCATCCTTGATCTCAAAATGCTGTCAGTGATCCAAGTATGTGTTCATGGCTAACTTGCCGAACTATTGGTCTGGCCGTCCTTCAACACAATACTGACAAATGAAAGTGCAGTCTTGGTCACTATTCTGTTTTTGTTGAATTTGATTGTGTCTCTCTTAGTTTTCCACCCACTGTTTCTTCTGGCCCTTTGAAACATTTTTATATCATCATGTGTAATCTGAACAGAGTCTTCTTTTTGGTCCAGGAAGCCCAAGAGTTGCCCCTTAATCTGTTGGTCAAAAATGGTTATTTGCTGGACCAGTTGTTCTCTTGGAACTAATGGGACTCCTGATCTCTGAGGTAGTGAAGATCCAAGGATGGTGGTTCAAAAGTGAGGAGTGTTGATTGCAAAATGTGTACATATTTTCAATTAGCTCACACTCCTATGTGTTGCAGTGTAACTTGTAGCATTCCTATGCTGTTGACAGTTATTCCACCAACACCACATAGTCTCATCTCTGTAGGCTGTAAATTCTGCTTCTTCAGCCATGGTAACAAATCTGATAGGATAGTGACTTTGGCTCGAGTATCAAGCTTAAGTTCAGTACAATGCCCAGAGGCATAAATAACTTTTGTGGATTCTGGATTTATTGAGAACATCAATTTACCCCTAAATGCCTTGGTTTTCTTTAATAAAGGAGATTTCTGTACCTTATTAAGATCTTTGCTGTGCAACCTCTCCTTTTCTGCAGCTCTGTAATTGGATGCCACTTACGCACTTAGTATTTGATTTTGAGCCAATGCTGTATCTTAAGAACTGTCGCCTCCACAAAGTCCAATCTTGTGTTCTGTACAGTCCATCTCTGACCTTGAATTTACTTGAAAGTATTAACTGTTTTCCATTTCTTCTCAATGTGCTATTTAATCTTATTACCGTAAAGCTGTTTTAATTCTTGCAATCATTGAAAAGTGTAATCACATCCTTCCTATAGTGTGGCAACCAGAATTGCACACAGCACTCCAATTGTGGCCTAACTAATGTTATATAGAGCCACAGCATAATTCCTTTGCTCTTGCAATCAATGCCTTGATGAATAAAGTATCCTTATGCCTTATTAACCACGTTATCTACATGTCCTGCTGCCTTCACTTATCTATGGCTGTGTACACCAAGATCCCAGTGATACTCTATATTTCCTAGGCTCCTACCATTCAATGTGCACTCTCTGCCTTATTAGTCCTCTTCAAAATGCATCATATCACATTTTTATAAGTTTTAAAAGTGTAGCTGATTTTTCTCTTTCTGCAGCCTACACTCTTGCCCCAGACATTTTAAGCAGTGTAAATTAAACCATAAAATTATAAAGAGTTATTAAAGGATTAATTGAGAAAAAAAGACAAGTAGGTTTCATTGTTGGCAAATGTTAGGCCACATTGTAGTTGGAAAAAGGATAAAACGATACACCTTTAAAACTGGTGAAAGGCTAAAAATACCGGCTGTCCGAAGAGACTTTGGATCCATGTGCATGGATCATTAAAATGTCAGAGAGTAAAAAATTAAAAAGGCTGATTAAATGTTAGTCTTTGTATCTAGAGGATTACAGTACAAGGGGATGCAAACAAGGTTCCCTTTAAAAGGTCATTATTGAACTTGGCTAGTTTGTTCAGTGTGTGTTACCTTGAAATTTAATTTGCCTGGCGACTCAACTCATCAACATGGCATAAGGCCAGTGCTGTACCTTTTGGACTTCTGTGTGGCCGCACATGGCTGCAGCTTAGCAAGAACAGCTGATCATTTATTACCTCCTTCATTCTTACTTATGTTCAATGATAAGGCATAGAGTTATGAAAAAGTTGAAACTCTGAACGCACTTAATAAATGCACCCGTTTTGATTAATTTTTGAATTTTAAGGTTAAGATTTATAAACCTTAGGTTTCACTTTACAAAACTATGTTATCTTGCTGTAGTGGTGCAGCTTCCACAAACAGATAGAGTCTGTGATGATTCAGCTTGCAGCTTTTAAGTATGAATGAAAGAAATAATACAAGAAAGAACCAATGATTAGCCCGTGATGCTGGGAGTCCACCATTCTCCTCTGCCTCTTCTGAAAAGTGGGTTCATCATTACATCCAATTTAAAAAACTGGCAATTGGAATTATTTACAATCATGAAAATACATTGTTTAAAAAGTATGTGAAGAATTAACAAGAATACAAACAGAAAGTGCTAGAGAAACTTGGCAAGTTTGGTAGAGTTTCTTCAGCATTTTCTGTTTTTATTTCAAGTTGCAGTATTTTGCATTTATTAAGAATTGACAGTGCATGTCCTTACATGCGATATACCTTGAAGGGACATGCTCATAATAGCGTCGCCATATCATGCATTTGACGTGTTGATATAAAGCTAATTGAGCTCAGTCCTCTTGCAGCATGATAAGCCATGGGAAGTGTGCTACCGTACATCTGAACTGCTTAGCTTGATTCCAGACATGCCAGTGCCTGTTATTGCCGTGTACGTAGGTAAAGTACGAGGCGTTGTCATTAAAGTTAGTTGAGCTCTTCAGTACTACATGAGCCATATCTCATATTTATAGATCATAGATCATAGAATTATACAGCATGGAAACAGACTCTTCGATCCAACTCTTCCATGCCTACCAGATATCTTAAATTAATCTAGGCCATTTGCCAGCATTTGGCCCATTTTCCTCTAAACCAATCCTATTCATATACGCATCCAGATGCCTTATAAATGTTGTTATTGTACCAGCCTCTATCACTTCCTCTGGCAGCTGATTCTACACACACACCACCCTCTGCATGAAAAAATGGAAGCTTACATAATTATTACAGCGTGATAGTTACAAATCATTAGTATGCCTTACCACCTCACATCACAGTGGCTATGCAGTAGTAAGCTCTAAAGAATTCTCATTGAAAGTTAGGCCAACTCTGGATCATAAAGCATTTGGAAGACTAACCACAATAAGTTTTTTTATATTTGTACAGATTTGCAACTTCAGTAGCTAGGAGGCAGACCTACCAACCTACCTACCTACCTACCTTCTACTCAAACTTAGAAGGTTTCTAGCTTGGTCGGTCTCTATCTCCTTTACAAAAATAAAAAAAAATGAAGTGCCAGCCTGTTTCTTGCCATGAAAGTTAAGGCATAGCAGTTGAAACACTTGTTACAGTTTTAAAACTAACATCAGCAATCAAAGTAACATGTCAGTTCAACTACGTGGGACACCACATTTGGGAAAACAACATTTCAACCACTGAAAAGTGATTCTATAACTGGAGAAGCATACATGTGTGCAGTGGTTGGTCACACCATTTTGTTATAAATGATCCTGAGTGGAGATCTCTTAAAAAGTTTCTTGTTATTGGCAAGCAGTGGATTTGCAGAATAGATGCATGTAGTCTTTCTGAGAATGATATAAAATGGTCCAGACAAGTTCTGGAGAAGGGTCACTGGATCCAAAATGTTAACTCTGCTTTCTCTCCA